ACCCTCCGAGCTCTGGTTCCGAGTCTCCGACCACGCGATCCCGACCCGGCACTTCACCCTCAGGGGTTCGGCTCTGAGTCCCCAATACCGGACACAGAACCCGGCCCCCGGTCTCGGGCTCCTCAACACTGCGATTCTGGACACTCCTCTGGTCTCAGGCTCTGGGGTCCCCAACCTCACGATCCTGACATTCTCGCCACCACCACCCCCGCCCCAGCGCTCGCCCTCCCCGGCTCCCCAACATCACGGTCCCGATCTCCAACCTGGCCGGCTCCCGCGCCTCCCGCGGCGGAACTCAGCAATGGGCGGCAACTGAGGCTGTGCAGGCTACCAGCTTCCAGCGGGCGACTGTGACCGCGGCGGGCGCAGCTAGGGGGAGAGGCGGGTGGGAGGGGACCGCCGGGGGCGGGCACCGCCCGACTCCGCCCCTTCCCGGCCCGGGGATGAGATGCGCGGACCCGCGCACCCACCGCTGCAGTCTGGCTGCTGCTGCCGCCGAGGAAGTTGACTGACGCCTCTTCCTTCCACCCAGGGCGCAGACCCACAGAGCTCCCTTTCAGAAGCGAAAAGGTCGAGGGTTTGGGACAGAGAGAGATCGTAAGCCCGCGTCCTTTTCTCTCTAAGAACGCGCCCCAGGGGACCCTTCCCCTAGTCTTTCAGGAGGAAAAGGAAAAACAAAAACTTCATCTGTTCCAAGACGGATTTAAATCTGGGCCTCTTTCCCCGCCACCCTCATGTGCACATTCTGGGTCATTCTGCTCGTGAAGGCATGTTTTAGGACACTAACAAGGGCTCTTGCTGACACACACTTTTTCACATCCCTGAGATATTTCGTGAAAGACTCTCCCATGACTTAGGCACCCTACAAACACGCCTCTTTGGCTGACAGGCCAGGAGCCCATTTCTGTACCCTTCAGCCGCAGACTGCATCCGGTGGCAATAACAATAAAAGCAGTGAGGGGAAAGAGGAAATTCCAAGTTTGGTCCCAGAGTTTTTCCTCGCCCACAGTGCTGTCTGTGTTTAACCACAAGAAAAATACACGGAAGATGGTGTTTAACAAATTAGATTGGCTTTGCTATTAAAAACGGTCTTCATTATCTGGGAAAAGATCAACAGATCAGATCCTGGGACTGTCCTTCAGCAATGCTACTGTAAGGGGCCCATAGAATTCATCTCATTGCTTTCCTAAGACAATCAAACCTAATTCTAATCAGTTGTGACCTAGAATTTTGCCGCTATCCACTCTGTTTTAATGCTATATCTAACCACATCTCACATTTGTTTTTCACTTTTCAAAACATTTTAAAGTCCATTACTTCATGTATCCTCAGCAAAACATCAAAAAGCAAATACTGTATGTTTTCCAGTGTGGTTATTTCAAGTTCATAGATGAAAACATCTAGATTCTGGGGAGTTGCACGTTTGAAAAGAGTCAGGGGTCTGGTGTTCAGGGTCACTGCCCTTCCCTGAGAAGCAACCACCTGGCACACACATATACGTGTCCCAAAGATCTGTGGCAGATTTGCCATCTTTAGTTTTACTTCATCCCAGAGATGTCAGGGAATTTTACTATATTCACGAAAATTAGAACCATCAATATTAAATTTATTTTCCAGCCAGAGATCACGCTGTAGAATAGAACTGACTGGTAAGAAGTGAAAATCTCTCTTCTTTCTTTCTCTGCCATTCTAGAAACAAAATTACAGATCATCAAGGGAGATTCAACAAGAGGCTCCATCCAACTCAAGCAAGTTCTTGGATGAGAGCTGGTGAGTCTGTGAAATGCATGTTAATCATTCTTGTGGCTTGTTTTGCCTGACGGTTCATCTGCCTGGAGTGTGGAGAAGGGTTATTGTGACTTAAGGAAGATCAGCTAGCCCTTAAATGCTCTCTCAACATCAGAAAACGGTAACTATTCCTTCCTAAATCCTTTATCTAGGGATAAGGTGAGTCATATCTGGGGGCTCAGGGAAAATTTGCATGTGTCACTGTCCATAGCCAAGGTGAGTGGTGAGTGGTGTTTTCCTGTCCTTTGTGTTTCTGTGTATGTGTGCATGCGCACACGTACACAGCCGGCAAAGTACAGATGTTTCCCTCTTTAACCTTCTAAAAAGGTTTAAATGTGGTAAAATATGCGTAATATAAAAGTTACCACCTAAACCATTTTTTAAATGAACAGTTCATTAATGTTAACTACATTCACATCCTTCGTGTCTTTTAAATCTACTTGGCTCTTACACTACTAATCTCTTCCATTTTCCACCCAGGGGTGATGGCCCACTTCAATTTGGCCAGTACGAGTGATATTTTAGTAACGCTGGAAAAAAAGAGCCCTAACATGACATTACTCGTTTAAATCATAAGGCTCTTAGATCTCTCATAAAGGATAGTTAGGATGACCTTTTGTATGTGAAAATTCATAGGCAGTCACCCTCCATGTAATACTCATCTGACAACAAGATTTTGACTTGTGATTTTTCCCAAAAGCTGGAGACAAGCAAAATCTTAGATATTGCAGGGTTTTCTTTAAAAGAATACTAAACTGCAAATCCAATCAATACTCTATCAGACACAATTCCCTTTCAGGTTGCCCTTGCAAGTCACAGACAGACAATAAGCAATGTGATTAAAAAATAGATACGATGCAAGATTAAGGAGCTATTTTTGTCCCTATCTCTAGCTAAATAACTCAGTCCATATCACGTTGTGTACATACCACACTGACACTGTTTTTCTGTTCCTTTTTTTTTTAAATGTTTATTTATGCATACGGAACCGGGGTTCAGGCCAGAGGAGGGGGAATGAGAGGATTCACCAGAGACAGAGTGGGGAGCAGAACAGGCAGGCTGATGAAGGACACTGCTGAGGGGAGCCGCGGGTAGGTCAGGAGAGGTCTGCTGTGCCATGTGGGTCAGTTCCCTGACTGTGGATCAAACTCATGCTGAAATGGCTGTGGCCAGCTTCATAGTGCTGTGCTTTAACCTGTTGTCCCACCAGGGAGGGTGCTGTTTTTCTATCACTTGTACTGTGTGTTCACACTGCATTGCTTTTCCAGGAAACTCAAAGCTCATGTGATGATATCATATTACTAAGCTTCATACAGTTTATGTGAAGTTTAAAAGTAGCAGAAACTGTTAGCCTTGTTGTAACATGGAAAAGCAGAAATATGATGTACTAAAACCATTTGCCTAGAACATCTTGGCATTTTGGTTTATAATGATGTGTTTTAAAAGAAAACATGAAAAAACTATGTGAAAACTCATACAAGACAAGTTGTTTAAAAGCTCTAGTTACTGTGGGGTTTTGGGGACATTTTTGTGCTTTGCTTTTTTATATCTTATGGAAAAACTGAGGGCCATTAATTTCTTCATTATCTTAGCAGAGAAAAAGAGAGGCACTTTGTATTCTGGTTACAAGTGTGGGCCTAGAAGTCAGAATGCCTTGAATCTAAGATCCTGTACTACCACTTAGAGCCTCGGGTAAGTTACTTAACCTTTCTGTGCTTCAGGCTCTTTACCTGTGAAGTGGAAATAACAATTGTATGCACGTTCTATAGTTATTGCTAGGTTTCAATGAAATAGCATACATTAAACACTCAGCGTTGTGCCTATCACATAATGAGGGGCTGAAGAATGTAGGTAAAAAAGCAATGACTTCATGTAAATGGTTGCTTGTAACATCATTATTCCAGTTCTTTCTATTTGAGAAAAAGATGTACTATCCCAGAGGACTATGCAAGGAATAAGAAGAACCTTGAATATCTCTATTATGTGTGTGTGTGTGTGTTGTGTAGAACTGGGGTGTGAGGGCGGTGAGAAGATTCACCAGAGACTGAGTGGGGAGCAGAACAGGCAGATCTACTGACATACACTGCTGAGGGGAGCAGCGGGTGAGACAGGGAAGGTCTGGGCACCATGTGGGTCAGCTCCCTGGCCTGGGATCCAACTCAGGCCATTGTTTCAGTGATAGCACTGAGCCTTAATGATCTCCCCCTCCCAAAGGTCCCCCCAACCAGGGAGGCCCAGAATATCTTTATTTTCTAAACTTGAAGTCAAATCCATCCATTGCTTGACGTTCACCATCAAATAGTCATCCACCTTAACCTTTCTACTTGGACCCTTTGCTAACTGACTACCCATGACAGCAGTTTCATCAATTTCACACACAGGACTAACAGTTTGCTGTTAATTCAGATTAAAAGTAAAACCCAGAATAATGGGTTTCTTGTATTGGAATGGTAAGGGTAGTGATAATTTCATTCCTTTTCATTTTATGTGTTACTAACAATTAACAATTCAGGAAGCAAACAAATAAACACAGGCAGACAAGAGAGACAAGCTGGGGGAATTGCCCTGGACCTTCAGTTAACTTAGGCCACTTAGTTTCACACTATGTGGCCTTGCATCTGAGGTAACTAGTTGTTGGTTGAAGTTTCAGATGGCAGCTTCATGCATGAATGAAAAAACAACCTTCTGGAAACCCTTGAAATTATCAATAAAATAATATGAGTTCCTAAAGTACAAAATTTTAATTTATGATTCTTTCCTATATAATTGTGTTGGGGCACAGAGCAAAATTCCCTCACCCCTCTGTTCTTTTGAAGCTGAACAAATAAATTAGCATCAAACTGATTAATAGGAGAAAAAGACCCAATTTGATAACATACATAAAGCGGGGGCAAACCCAGAATTTATATCCTATGCTAATATGACAGAACCCCTGCATTTAGCAACAAAAATACTTCCCTAAACTAAAAATTAGGAGTAAGTGAAATTAAACTCTAAACACCCTTTATCAATACTTTCACCTAACTTCTTAATTTTTATTAACCATGAACTAGCTCCAACTCTGTTCCTGGGTATTTAGAACGTGGATTGTGTTAGAGTTCTAATAAAAAATTCCTTGTGCTCCTCTGAGGTTAATAGTGTCAGAAGAAACAAAAAAGTCTGCTGATTGCTATGAAAACATCCTCCTGGGAAAGTCAAGCACCTTGACTCACACTCCTGCCCCCTCTTATATCGTTATAGCACACTGACCACTCTGGAGCTGGCTTCATTAGGGTCTAACCCACTTGCTGACTCTCTTGGTGGCCCTCTCATACAATAAACTCCTCTGGGCAAAGATAGTCTCATAATCCATAGTTTAGTTTTCTGGTCAAGAGTGAAAGGCCTTATACTAAGGGGTTTGGGTCATTGGGGAAAAAAAAAAAAGAGGACTTTCACATATGAGGTGAGGATGACTTTGTCTTTATCGCAATGGTAAAAAGATGAGTTTTTCAGATAGAGAGGAAAGTCATTGATAAACCTACCTTGATTGATAGTGCCCAAAATACATTCTTCTAGGTCATTCGAGGAAGCAGTAATCATGTCTTGGATTACATATAGTGTAAAACTATTAAGGACAAGACAAGAACTAAAAGGTGACCAGCACTGGGGCAAAGGCCTACTCTGGATATATTGAGAAAAACCTGTCTGACGCCCTTTAGGGACCTATCCCACAGTTTTATTGCAGCGATTGAATGGCAAATAAAAGTGGGGGTAATAAAATATTAGGCTCCCTTAAAAGCTAAAATATCAGCTTCTCCTATAGCCAAAAATTGCAACTAAAAACCTCAGAGTAAATGATCTTCTTTAAAGACAATTTTCTTTCTTTTGAAATTTATTTATGCACACAAGAACTGGGATACAGCCTAGAGATGTGGGGTTGTGGGGGCGAGAGGATTCACCAGAGACAGAGTGGGAGCAGAATAGGCAGGTCTACAGAAATACACTGCTGAGGGGAGCAGCTGGTGAGACAGGAGAGATCTGCTGCGCCATGTGGGTCAGCTCCCTGGCCAGGAATGGAACTCATGCTGCAGTGGTTGCAGACAGCCGCACAGTGCTACGCTTTAACCCACTGTGCCACTAGAGAGAGTCCAATTTTGCTTCTTCATTTATTTGCGCCTGACCCTCAGCTTTTGTGTCCTGGGAGAGGGAAGAGAGGTAGGCAATGCCTGAACATACAGAAAATCGGAATTAAACTTCCAAGACTGATGTCAAAAATATTAAGACATAAACATTTTTTCAGTGTGCACAACTGCAGCTCAATCTGAACTGAATTTTTAAAAATAAAAATCAAGGAAGATGTTGGGGGAAGAAAATGTGTCAGATTTTGAACTAGAAAAAGAGAACCATAGGAACTTGTCCAAAATGAAAAGTTGAGGCTTGAGCCTCTGGACACACCCTCTGCTGGTATGTGGCTGAGGGAAGTACACAACCTCTTATATCCCATTTCAGACTATCATCTAATTTAGGCTAATGGGCAAAGAGATACACCATCCTCTGTTGAACAGTTAGGGGTCAGAATGCCCTGCAGTACAGAGTGTTCTGTCCATAGCTTTTTAGTTGAAGTCTGTCTGAAGGAGACTGGTCTTGACTCTTAGTTCCATTAGATAGGATGGAAAGATGAAAATGGCTATCTTGGACAAGATGAGTAGCAACTGCATTATTTATGCCTCACTCTGGCTTGTTTTCAGGGTTTTAATGATTTGAACAGAAACAAAATCGATACTACAATTGACCAGTTTAATTCAGCTCTTGTTTGCTAGTCTGTTTTCACTGCATAGCTAGTAGCTAGGGGGCCAGACCTGGCCTGTCCATATGGTCATCTGGAAAGCTCTGAGAATAGATAAGACTTTGTCTATTCCCTAGCCCAGTCCTCAGGCCCAGAACAGATAAACAGGAGTCATTTTCAATTCATTTTTACATCTCTTTGGATGAACTCAGGAGCCAAGATGTTGAACCATGTTTAAACTGGTAGGTTTGGTCAAGAGTGCTCTTTGATCAAATGAGACATAGCATCTAGAGTCAACCCTGTTACATCACTGCATCATTTTTATAATTCCCTTTCACAACTTTGGTTCTTCCACTAACCTGTAAGGTCCTAGAAAGCAAGGTTTGTGAGAGGCAAGTCATTGTCATAACCATCAGACCTAGCACATGGTATGTACTTGAAACATTGTTGAACAAATGAACTAGATAATGTGAAATCACAGCATCCTCAGAATCCAGTTAGCCCAGGAGTCCATAATCATGTACTCCAGAGCCTTTAGAGGAAGCTAGAATTATTTACAAATTGACTACAAAAGTATATAGCCCAGAGGAAGTAAGGAGGACAGGAAAAAGCAATGGAGGTGAAGCATATTTTCCCATCTGGGGGATGGTGATGGAGAGAAGGGAAAAGAATGAGAAAGGCTAATTCTGGGCCCCCAGCAAGATGCACTACAGAAATAGACCACTTGGGTTTTTTTAAATGTCAAATTGAATTAAACCGATGTAAACTGAGTTGCTGGAATTCGGCCCACTAAAGCAGCATCCTGAAAAGTTCAAAATCAAGTAAAATTCTCCTTTCATTTTCCCTCATCATTATTAAATTTCTTTCTTTCTTTTTTCTTTCTTTAGTCTCCTCACCAGCCTGGGATCCTGCAGCCCTGAGAAGCAACACTCTAGAAAACAGAGACCCAATTTACTGAGTCTTATTCCTCAAGAGTTCCTGATAACTTCAAAGAATTATCCACGAGCTGGGTATTTTGGTGAGAGCCTTAGAATCTTGGAATCAGAAGCTCCAGTAGGAAGCTTACAAGGTCCCTGGAGTAAGATGGTGATTGAGACCTGAGAAAATGAATAAGGGTCCAGTTGCAGGATACTGTCCTGGCTTTAAAAGTCACACAGAACACATAGCACAGAGAAACATTCCACAGAGCATTCCACAGTTCTGTAGTTTAGTAAAACAGACCAGGATAGAGTGCGGTTTGATACAGTTTTTAAATATATATTTGTATGTGTGTGTGTGTGTGTGTGTGTGTGTGTGTACTGAGAGAGAGAAACAGTAAGATTTGTATACCCATAGTGGTTATTTCTACAATGTGCTATTCCAGAACTTAATTTTCTTTTAGAATCTTTAATATTTTCCAAAATGTCCCTCATGAAATAAACACATAAATACATTTACTGTTGTTTACTGTTCTGAACCTAAGTATACTTCTAATGGACTCATTGCACAAAAATACAGGACAAAAATACGAGGTTAATTATAACAAGTGTGATGTGTGGGATGTTTTTGTGAGTGCCCTGTGCTTTTAAGCTCATCACAACAACAAATAAGAACCTTTATTCTCTTTTGAAAATAGGTGTTGAAAAGAGGCCACCTGCTGAAAGCGACTGTGAACCACCAGGGGCCTTCCAGCATCAGCAGGACCGCAGCACAGTGCGTGGGTGCTGGGAGGTCAGACACCCGGTGCCTAGCTTCCAGGAAGCCCAGGTTCTTGGAGGGACTCAGTGTGATGGGCAATGTGCCTCTTCTCCAAGCAACCATTAATGGGCATGTCTGGTTCCTCAACCAGGTCCTTCAGATCTAAGCTGCCTCCCTCCCCCCACACTCCTCTTTAATGGTGCATTCAACATCTCTTTTCCCTTCTATTCAATCAGGGCTGGAAGAGGACTCTGTCAGCTGATCCAATTCTATTGAGATTGAATACCGTAACCTTTGCAACAAGATGAGGCTGCTCTATGTCTCTCTCTCTTCCTCTTTAGACAAATCCAATTAACCCTGATCCCTCTACATTTCTGACAAAGGTGGGGAGCAGGGGCAACCAATTGTTTAGGTCAGGAGGGAAGCACCTTATTAAGCTACTGTGAGGACACTGAAGATGATTTTTGTCTAGGGACAGAGGGACATGTGACTATTATTCAATATGCAGTATTCTATTATTAATTCTTTCATCTATTCAGAAAATGCTATTTATTGAAAATGACCTGGGAGAGGTCATTTATTGAAAAGACCACTTTACTAAACACTGAGGATGAAAAGAGAAACTTGACGCAATCCTCACCTTCCCTTCCAGAGGAGGAGACTTAGTATGAGGCAGTGTTGTAAGACTGAGAGAGGTGCCTGGCTCCCTGGCCACCTTGCTGTCTCTCACATTGGCTGAGTCAGTACAAGCTCCCCTGTGAGTGGGGAAGGGGCTCTAACAGCAGACAAACCTGGAAGGAAGCAACCCAGGATGCGGGAGCATCCGAGGCCAAGGCTCTGAAGCACATGTCATCAGGACACTTACAAGGCCAGCATGTAATGCACCGATGGGTACAGGCCTTGCTTGCAGCCCTCAATGAGGAAGAAAGTGCAGGCACAGCCTGTAACCAAATATTTTACTGTTAGTCACCACTAACACACACTGAATAGGAAAGAAAATGAAGGTGGTTCCTTCCTTTGGGCCTGTGCCAGCTCATTAAAACACTCCCAGGAGACCCTCTAGTCTACACCTTGAGTTAGCAAGGGCCTGCTGAGGACTCATCTCTGCTCCTGGGGCTCCCTCTCTGCCTCCTCTTCTCCTGCCCCATTTCTTTAGGTCATTTAAACCCTTTCTTTCGCCCTAAAACGCTATTTTATTTTCATCCATTTGGCTGTGAAGGGCTATGGAATCTCCAGGATAGATGCCCAGTCACAGCCAGGGTGTCAGGGAGAGTTCTAGACCAGTGCTACCTCACGGGGTCATAATGGTGGTCTATATGTAGTCTGGGTACATAGGAGGCTGTACCATCTAGGTTTGTGTAAGGACACTCTATATATTATACAATGACAGAATCTCCCAAGACACATTTCTCAGACCATTCCCCCACCACTAAGCAATACATGACGCATGACTGTATAGATAACATGGTTGTAAATGAATAAACACTCACAGCACTGGGGTGGATAGAACCAGTAATTAGAGTGAAGCAAAAGGGCAAAGGACAAAAAATCATTTCTAGCCAGAAGACAGGTGGATTTGTTACTTTTTTTTTTTTTTTTACATATATGGCTAACATGCTTCCTTTTGGTTTTGTTACTGTTTTTATTGTTTATATTGAGATGTAATTGCCATTGCACAAAATTTGCCATTTTAAACTGTACAGTTCAGTGGTTTTTTGGTATAGTCACAATGTTTGCAACTACCGTCACCCTCAAGAGAGAACCCATACCCTTCCCGCTCCCAGTAGTAATTCCCCATTCATATAAATGGTGGAGTCACATGACATGTGTCTTCTGCAACTGGCTTCTTTCCTTTAACTAATGCATATGACAATGCCTGGTTCAGAGGGCAGGCATTTAATATTCAGCAAAGTTCCTCCCATTCCCATTCTTGATATATAAGCCTCTCCTAGAACTTTGGAGAACATCCCTAAAAACAGATGGTGAGTTCCTTCCAAGTCCATACAATTTGGGAAATCTTTGTGTTAAAAGAGTCCATAGGCCATATCCTCAGGCACTCCCCAAAGGTGCCCTGACTTCGGTCTACAAGGGCCCTTCCTTTCTCTGTCCCCAAGGGTACTCACTGAGTGTGATCCCCTTACACAGTTAAATGTGTGGGTCTCTGAGTCTCCCCTATGTTTATAACATCAGAGTGAAATCTTCTGAGGAAGTTAGTAGGATTTGTCCTAGGCACCCTTAATATACAGCTGTTGTGGAATTTGTACTTATGGTTAAATAAAAAAGCAGCTTAACAATTCCTATAATGGCCAGCTTGTTTCCAGGAACTCTAGTGTTTTGTTTTTAAAATGAGTTTGACTTTTTTTTTTTTTTTTACACATGATAGCCTACTGCTAAGATGAAATGCCTAATTCATGACTATTTTTCATATTTCTGGGAACTTAGAATAATCCAAAGAATTCTATTTCAGGATGCTTTTGATATAGACACTATTATTTTTTCTAAGAGTTCAAAGAAACATTAGAAATCATTCCACCATTTGAAAGATGAGGAAATTGAGATCCAGGCTCCTCTGTTATGGCCCAGATGTGTCAGAGTGAAGATCCAGATGTTTTTCCCTTTAACATTCTTCGTCCTTAGTCTCATGCTCCCAGGATAATGCATATATGGACGTTACTTGCGTTATTTAATGGCAGGAGAAATACTGATTAGTGCTTGCTCCACTTATCATGCCAGCTGTCACTGATAAGGAGAGTATAACTGCATTTTAGAGAGAAATGTGGCCATTTTGCACCCATCTCTAGGCGACTGTGACCCTGGCTGACAAACAGGGATTGATGCATGCTGGAGAGTGGTGGTTTAACTCAGTCATTATCAAATAAACACAATGCTGACCTGGCTTGGACACACTAAGTGGGTTTTCTGGTCTCTGCTTGGCAACTGCCAGCTCTTTAAATTGTGCCCATGATGATAGCTCTATCAGATTACCACCCAGCAATCAACTTCTCTTTTCATTATCTCCTTCCTGCATTCTCTGTCCTAGTCCAAACTTGGCTAAGGAAATTGAAGAGACCGAGAATGTCTGGAGTCATCGAGGTTGTCCTGTGCTGCTGTTTGCCAAGTGCTTGTTTGATTGGCTGAGTCCCAGGAAGGCTGCGGGTAGCCTGTGTACTGCCAGGCACATAAAATGCCTCATATCTAGTCCTGTGCTTTGAAGCGAAACATGATCAAAGTCTGTCACACTCCCCCGCTGTCTGCGGACAGTCCCCACGTCTGCCAGGATGGAGCACCTCTCATCTAAGGACAAGTCTGATAGGCCAAGCTGCATGGACTCAGAAGGTTTAATTGACCCTTCCAAGGTAATATTTTCCCCCACTTTGGTCATTACTTTCTGTGCAGTTGTAGGTTCAGGACTTAAATATCCCTCTTTTCGGTTTAAGAGTATGATATTGACTTCTGAGTCTGTGCTATTCAGGATTCTTAGGGCTTTGCCTGCTATGTAGTTTGTTAAGTATTTTTTCATTGTCACCAAAAGAGCTGTATTTATCCAAATAACTGTTATTTACCCCCGCTAGTAAACTTTCTGAAGGCAACTCTATCAATATTATCAATTATTTTATATACTGATAAAATAATTATAGATTATTTTATGTTGCCAGAATAACAGCATTTTAAAAGCTATTAATGGCGGCCTCCCTGGTGGTGCAACAGTTAATCTCAGCATTATCACACCATCGTCTGAGTTTGATCCCTAGCCTGGGACTAAAGCAAATGTGGCACAGCAGGCCTCTCCGGACCCACCCGCTGCTCCCCTCAGCAGTGTATTTCAGTACATCTACCTGTTCTGCTCCTCACTCTGGCCCTGGTGAATCCTCCTACCCTCCACACCTCTGGCTTGCACCCCAGTTCTTCTATGCTAAAGTAAAAATTATAAAATAGCACAGCAGTAAAAGAATTTAAAAAAAAAGCTATTAAAACCTTGAGTATTGCTACTTCATAAGGATACCTTGATTCATCAGCAATGTACTAACTCTCTTCTATAGTAAGTAATTTTGTTTCTACTGCACCTTTTCCTTTATGACCTCACCCTCCCTCACATGGCATTAGCAATCACATTGCTTCACTGCCTGTGGGTGAGGAATGAGCCCAGACCAGCCATTTGGAGTTCCATAGCCCCTTGACAACAGAGATGAGTATATTATTGGACCATTGAGTATTTGCTCTCAGGCTTGCAAAACTCATTAGTAAAGAGACACACTTTTATCTGTATCATCTTTTTTTTTTTTAAAAAAAAAGATTTATTTATTTATATTATAGAATTGGGGTACAAGCCAGAGGTATGGTGGGTGAGAGAATTCACCAGAGACAGAGTGGGGAGCAGGACAGGCAGATTGACAAAGTACACTGCTGAGGGTAGCAGCGGGCAGGCCAGGAGACGTCTGCCATGCCATGTGGGTCAGCTCCATGGCTGGGGATCAAACTTATGCTGCAGTGGCTTCAGAGAGCTTCATAACGCAGTGCTTTAACACATTGTGCCTCCAGGGAGAGCTCTCTCTGTATCATCTTTTTAATGAAAACTATATAAATCCAGTGCTGCACTTCAGAGACTGATCAATTTGAGAGTCTCTCCTGAGAATGAAACCATGAACTCAGTTCTTAAGCCAACTTCAAGATAATCTGCTGGAAATAGCTCTGAGAAAGCTTCTTTAAGTAAAGGAGACAGATATGGTCCCTTCCATTTCGCCTCCCTCCACACTTAAATGCATATGACGATTGCAAGCAGCCATCTTGAGACCATGAAGGAAAGACAAAGAAAATCACAAAAAGTCAGTACTGACATCGTCAAGCCTTCCAGACAACCAACAATTATCTTCCTTTAGCCAAAGGCTGGCAAAGTGTAGTCCCCAGGCCAGATTTGAGTTTGCATGTGTCAGTGGGTGCTGCTTGAGCAGGCTGGCACCATAAGTAGTAGAGAACCCAGTTTGGGCCTCCTACTTTGCTCCTACTTTCTCCCTTTGGTCCCAATACTTGGCTCTCAGGCAGGCGAGCAGTTA